CACCTGGGCGCGCATGTCCAGTTCTGTGTTTCATCACTTCTATTCCTCGTCTTCAAGCGTACTTAGCTCTGAGGGGTCTTTCTTGCTCGAAAATGCTTCCAATCACAACTGTTTAAGGCATCACCTAGGCTCCTCATCCTGCAATATATACAATTCACAATTAGAGCCTATTTTTCATCAATTAATCATATTATGATACTGAAATATAATCAAGTGGGAGCATAAACAATCGTCAAATTACCTAGATTTAACCTATTATCACTCACCACTAGTAAAGTCAATAAACATCACGGAACCCACATCCAAGGAATAATACACAATTTCCGTTGGCTCCTCACCATCCTCTTTTTCCACAAGAACAGCTCTATCGGCATCATAGCTTTCAAAATTTTTGATATGCGGCATCAGGTATTTCCAAGTTTTTTCATGGAGGTCGTAAATTTGACCACATCTTTTCCAAATTGGATTCTCATGCTTATCACCCCGTGCGTAGTGCTCAGTGCCGGCCCCAGCATATAGCTTTGTACCAACGGCAGCGAGGAAGGGCTTGCTACGGGGAATATCCATGGGAGATGATACGGGTTCCCAAAGGCTAGGGTCAAAAGAATGTTTGATGATATTATGTTTATGCAATTGGGAACGAACAATAGCCCTATCACCACCATAACTGTATCCACCAATCCAGTATATGTCTTCATCACCAACTACTGTCCATCTTCCTGCAATTCCATAAGTCTGCCGACAGAGCTTCGCAACAGGTTCAATTGTTTGCCTTTCACCTCGTTTGCCATCCTCTTTTGTCATCACGATGCGAAACCACAATTCTTCCCTCTTTCCGTAACCGCGGAGATACAAAACATTTGGTTTCGAAGCATCGCCTACTTCCATTGCTCTTCAGCTCGATCTAGGGTTCTGTAAATCTAATTAAGCTGGGTAATTCTCACGACTGGAGGTATATATAAATCAAGTTGTGCTTTACATGCACGCAACTACAATATTTTGAATTCATTAACCGGTTTAGGAAATATAAACGGACCTTCTTTTTTCACTAAATTCTAAAATATTTTTTTACAATACTAGAATTAGAGTTTAGGTGACTGCATTTTTTATACGTTCCTCTTTTGAAAAGGAAATAAAAGAGAGGATTTAATGAGAAAATTTTTCACTTACATATATTATTATTATTATTATTATTATTATTATTATTATTATTATTGTTATTATTATTATTATTATTATTATTATTATTATTAAGTGAGAGGCTAATATGCGATTCTTTAAGTCTAATTACATGTTAGAAGCATGTAAATAAATATTTATTTATGATCGTAAAATATTAGATTTTGCAAAAAAATTCTATTCAAATAAAAAAAATATGAAATAAAAAGTAAAGATAAAAATATCAAAAAGAAAACAAAAGAGAAAAAATTAGTTAAAATTGCGGCATGTATTCCTTTTTCCTATTCTTTCTCGTTATCCCACGTTTAGTCTTCTTCTTTGTCTTTTATTTTCCACTCATCGGCCTCCGTCCCATATTCTCCTTTCCAAGGAGAACAAAGTAATTGACTTCTGTTGTAAATAGTGTAGGGATAGATTTCCATGCAAGCCGGGCCGGATCCAGAGTTTTTGCACATACTGTATATATATGTTAAAAAATTCACTAAATATCTATAAAATTTTTATTATGAACCCAGTTATTTATTGTATATTTATTTCAGGTCGCTATAGGAACCCATAAACTTTAAATCCTAAATCCGCCCCTGCTTACAAGATATCTATCCTTATACTATGTAAAGTTGACTTTTATAAGCTATCTCTTACCTTTTCTTGCCTATAAAAGGTTTTACTTTTTGGTAAGAAATGATTTATTCATACGACAACATACTAAGAGCTATTACAACGAGAGGTCGGTCTAGATAACATAGTGCCTAGACTGTCTCTTTTAAGTACATGAACAACAAAAACGGGCGGAAGAACATAAGTTTGCAAAATACAAAAAGTGTCCAAGCTACAACTATTTTTAGCTAATAGGTCCGCTATTCCATTAGCCTATCTAAACACATGCTTCAAATGTGGATCATTCGCCTTCCGCAATAGGTACTTGCAATCATCAATCAAGTTTTGGTAGAGACAATTATTAGATTTTAGGAGATTTATTAGTTCCAAGCAGTCAGCCTCTATTACTAATGGGAGGAGGTTTTCTTTTAGTGCTAATTTGACTCCATGGAGTAGGGCCAGGATATCCATATATATGTTAGTAGCATGGTCGACTCTCATATTGAAAGCTAAGATCCATTGGCCTCTACCATCCCTAAGAATTCCTCCAACTTTTGGGTTTCCTACACATGATCCATCAATATTTAGTTTATAGAAATTAGAATCTGGGGGTTCCCATTTTACAAGGATAGTTTTCTTGGGAGGTTTTAAGCTTAGATTTTTTGCCAGGTAGATGTATTTAATGGTTTTGCTAATGGGTTGGCTTATGGAGGGGGAGGATTTGTTTCCCTGGAAGAGTATCCCATTTCTGAAGTTCTAAATATACCATAGTAAGAAGGGGAGAAAATCTAACAAAAGTAAGTGATTGTTGAAGGTTTTCCTTGATGCGAGTTGTTCTTTAAGCCAATTAAACAAGGAGTTTTTTTCAAAAGAGTTCAGAGGGAAATGGTGGTCAGTTCTTGTTTGTGCCCAGATGGATCTTGAGTAGCTACAACGGAAGAAGATGTGTTTCGTGTTCTCAGTCTCCCTATTGCATATGCTACAAGTGTCGTCATGGCATATCCCTCTTTTGTCCAGCATATGTTTGGTGGATAACCTGTCCCATATGACTGTCCATAGGAAATATTTTAATTTGCTTAGGGAGTTAATTTTCCAGAGCCAAGAGTAGTCTTTTTTGTTATTACAAGTAATATCTGAGATTGTTTCGTAAGGAGCCTTGATGGAGACGCAGGTATGACCCTTTGAGTCCCAAGCATACGAGTCAGAAGTGGGCGTATTTTGCTTTATGTAAGTGCAATTGATTTTTGAGACTATTTTTGGGGTAATTCGAAGGATAAGTCTCTAAGGTCGAATATTCCATTTTTGATAATGCAGTCGAGATTTAGGTCTAGCTCCCTAGCAGGAATGAGACGCTGAATATAGTCTCTAAGAGATCCTAGTTGATTTATCCGTTTATCTTGCCATAAATTGATGGACATCCTATTTCCTACCAGCCATTTGGTGTTGGCATTGAAAATTACAAAGCCTTTCCTAATGACTTTCCAAGCATGAAAGCCTATATTTTTGCTTTTCCTATGGTCATCTTTGCTAGATAGAGTTTTGACCCATAGGGCCTCTTTCTTTTTTTTATATCTCCAAGCTAAAGCCGTATTGAAGGAGGAGTTTTTCCAGTGGATGTTATGAATGCCCAAGCCTCCTTGCTTTTTAGGCATTGTGACTATGCTCCATCTAACAAGGTGGCATTTCTTTTTTTTCATCTGTGCTACCCTAGAGAAAGTTTTTTTGGATTGATTCTATCTTATTGAGGGTAGTTTTGGGGAGGTCATATATTTGCATGACATGGTTAGGGGTTGCGGCTAAGGTTTCTTTGATGAGGGTTGACTTACCATCCATATTAAGAAATTTAGTTTTCCAACCTTTTAGTCTAGTATTTATCCGATCTAGAATAAATTGGAAGTTCTTTTTGGTAGGAGTGGCATAGGGCATAGGAAAACCCAGGTACTTTTCAAAATTATTGGCATATCGCATTGAAAAATAATTGCTAATATGGTCTTTATAGTCTGTAGGGGTATTCCTAGAGAACACAATTTTTGGTTTACCAAAATTGATAGATTGTTCTGAAGCTTCACAGAATTTGTTGATCGTATCTATAATCGAGTTGTAACTTTTTTGGTTGGCTTCAACTAGGAGGATAAGGTCGTCTACAAAGAATAGATGGGATAGCTCCGGGCTTTTGAGAGCTATTTTGATAGGAGTCCATCTGCAGTAGTCTATTTCATGGTGAATCAATCTAGAGAGCATTCCATACATATGATAAAGATATACGGGGAAAGGGGGTCTCCCTATCTAATACCCCTTGAGGGTCCGAAGAATTCAGTTTTAGAGCTGTTGATTAGAATAGCCGTGGTGGTGGTAGAGATGCAAGACATTATAAGCTCAATAAGGTCAGGAGGGAAGTTAAGAGAAGTGAGACAGAATTTAACAAAAGACCATTCAATTTTGTCAAAGGCTTTCTCTAGGTCGATTTTAATCATCATTTTGGATTTTTTACCCTTAGTTTTCCTGAGGTGATCTAGCACCTCATTTATGACTAGGGCATTATTAGCAGCTCTTCTGCCCTTGATAAAGCTAGTTTGGGTAGGGTGGATGAGATTAGCTACGAAGGGTTTAATGCGATTAGCTACGAAGGGCTTAATGCGATTAACAATTATCTTAGTGACAACCTTATAAGCCATGTTGCATAGGCTTATGGGTCTAAACTGCCTAATTGTTTCAGCATTTTGACATTTGGGAATGAGGCATACTAAGGTTCTATTCATGCTTTTAAGCATTCTTTTGGATTGGAATGAGTCTTGGCAGAAATTTATGAGATGTTTGCTTATCTCCTTCCAATATTTCTGGTAAAAGAAAGGGTGAAGCCCATCCGGTCCTGGAGATTTGTAGGGTTTGAAAAAATCTAGCGCCCTTTTTATTTCTTCTATAGAGGGGATACTATTTAGGTGCGGGTGGTCTTAGTCTCTAATTTTTGTATTGTAAGACATGTAGATACTTTTAAGCATGGATTGATTATGACCCGTAGTGGAAAGGTTTTGGTAATAGTTAATAATTAGGTCTTTGATGAGGTTTTGATCTTGGAACCAGTTCCCTGCTTCATCTTTTAGACAGATGATTCTATTGTTCCTTCTTCTTTGCATTGTGGTAATGTGGAAGAATTTTGTGTTAGCGTCTCCATCCTGAATCTACTGCACCCTGGATTTGAGCTTCCAAAATTCCTCCTCCTGCATAAGTACTAAGTTATACTCATATAGGAGTTCATTTTCTAGATTTATGAGGAATTGGCTATGGGGGTAATTCAGGGAATTCTGGACACCTTTTAATCTAGCTAAGATTTTGTTCTTCCGTTTAAAAATGTTACCAAAGGTATTTTAGTTCCATTCAATTTCCTTAGAACAGAAATTGTGTATGGCTTTAGTTATATTTGGTTGGTCTGACCATGAGTTATCGACCAAGGTTCTAAAGGTGGGATGAGATAGCCACATAGATTCTATTCTAAAAATATTGCTATTAGTAGGGAAACTTTTGTATAGATCATGTTTTGTTGGGCAGTGGTCTGAGTGGACTCTAGTTAGATGCATGACGCTAGCTTCCTGAAATAGTTCTAGCCAATCCGTGTTTGCAATGCATCTATCTAGTTGTTCCATAATTATGTTTTTGCAATTTTTTCTTTTGTTTGTCCAAGTAAACTTTGGACCCTTGAACCCTAAGTCCACAAGTCCACAGTGGTTCATACAATATAGGAAGTGTGAGACTCAATTATAATTTATGTGTAATTCTCTGAGTTTTTCCGAAGCGCGAGTGACTTCATTGAAGTCTTTCGCGACTAGCCACGGTCCTTTGTAGTTATTAGCTACTATCTTTAGATTTTTCCATAGGATTAATATTTCTTCCAATAAGTTACTAGCATAAATAATATATAGAACATAACTAACTTTTTGTTGAGTTTCGTACCTTTACCAAGGCGTGTATCTCTTGGTCCATCCCTCCAGTTTGATCCACTATTGTTTCTCCATTGTTCCACATGAGCACAATGCCCCCTGAATTCCCATTGGCTGGCATTTGAATAAGGCTTGAGTAGCCAAAATCATGCACCAAATCATGGTTATCTTCCAATTTTGTTTCTAGTAAGG